TTTGATTTGGTTTGATTTTGATTTTAATTTGAATTGCACCTTGAGGCAAGGTTGAAGTGAGTTCCAGAGATACCTTGGGAGGAATGAACACATAAACAGATTCAAAAAAATAGGTGCTAAATCCCTCTGGAAGTAAGGAACTAATCACAAATTTTAAACTCCAACCTCATGTGTTTACACTCATACATGTACACACACACAACACCCCACCTTCCCCCCTATGTGTATCTGTCTCTGTGTGTAACACTTTGTTAAAACATGCCATTGAGTTTTCACTATGACATGAGAAAAATTGTAGGTTTATTTCACACATAAGTTGATCAAATGAGCAGGGAGCAGTTGCCTCAATTGTTTTTTCTATTTCATAGACTAACTCCAGGGAGACACCTATCTTTTTCTCTGGCAGCGTTACATTGACATTTGCCCAGTAGAATATATTCCAGATGTTCCTATTCAAAATAATCTGAAGACTGTATCAATGTAGCTGTAGCTGTTTATATCCTGTGCAGTAAATACACAGAAATACATGAAAATCAAAATGCATCCACTAAGTATATATTATTTCTAAACCACTGATGTTCAGTATATTTTGGATGTTACACAGCATAGGATTTACTCTAGCATTTGTTCTTACAATAGATACGTTTGCTGCTTATGTATTTTTCAGAAGCTTATGATCTGATTGAAATGCCTTGATAGATGAAATGTACACATTAAAAGTGATGACAGGCCATTCAGTTTGTTCACATTTGTAGTCATTAACCATTAGATCTAGCTCTCACAATTGGTGACAAATTATGAGAGTTCTTGTAGTGAATATCTGAAGGGCATGACAAAGAACCAAGTCCCTGGCATTTCCTTAAAGGCAAAGGAATGATGCATTAGACAAGAAAAGTGTTGTAATCAATGGCATTAAGAAGGAGTTAAGATGAGAAGGAAACCAAAGAGGAACAGTCTGCAAAACACCATTAACTTTTTTCAATTGCCCATGGCACTGGTTACATGACAGAATTGAATATATTTTATTGCAGATATAAAACATAGAAGAGTTTTACCTTGCAGCATTTGTTGTCTGGTGTTCAATACCTATCTTTCCCTGTTTATCATTAATTCTGATGACCTAGGGAACAGAAGGTGGGAGATCAGCCTACAGAACTCCCACCTGTAATATTGCAAAACTTGGTTATTGTTGTGCAAGAAAACAAGGAAAAAGCAAAGAAAAAGATCTTGGTTTCTTGTACATCACTTATTCTTTATGGTTCAAACTTTTTTTTCTTTTTACAAACTATGAGGAATTTGAGTATTGTGTGGGTGGTTGCTATCAACTGCCAAAGCCTCCTTCTAAAGTACAACAGTATTTTTTAACTGACAATTGATGGTTCTGTGTGCACTTGCTTTGTAAACATGCCATCCTCTATTTTCAAATAAGTGTGACTTTCCTGTGTTGTTTAATGGTTATAGGATATGGAGGCAATCAACCTTCATCTTTTTCTTCAAGGATTCTACTGAGCAAGAAAAGGGTTTGCCTTTTAGCTATGCTAAGCATGCTATAATATATGTGATTTATTTTTGGAGTGCTTCACAATATTTTTTCCCTCCATCACTAGTTCTTGTGACACTTATGCATACCTATGGCATACCTACATGTGACTGATTCAGACTCATTTTGATGCAACACACAGCAGGACTTTTACTACATAAGTGGACCTGCTCCTCATTTACAGTCTGCTTTAAATAAAAAACCACCCCTTATGATGAATCATTTTCACCCTTACAACATTGGAATAAAAACTACACCATGAGTTATCAGTTTTCTGCAACTATGACTTCTTTCCAACCTGTTATGTCTTCCAATCATATGTGATGGTCCACTGATGCAGCAAGTATCCTGTGGAAGTGACACTGAATCTAATGGGCCTAGATTGACTTACTTTGTTATTCTACCTTGCATGGCACCTAATCCTAGACTTATGGTTAAACGTGCACTGTAAAATAAAAATAAGAGTAATACATAGTAAAAGCATGGTCATGCTTGCCAACAGTGCATGCGCCTCTCTTTTGGTGCCTTATAAATTTGTAAGAATGCCGTGTGTATTTATCATTAGGATTCAGTGACATTTTCTCAATTGTCAGTTGTTTGCTTCATAGTGTTGCCATCTATAAAGAGCCGAGGTGGCGCAGTGGGTAGAGTGCAGTACTGCAGGCCACTTCAGCTGACTGCTAGTTCAGCGGTTCAAATCTCACCGGCTCAAGGTTGACTCAGCCTTCCATCCTTCCGAGGTGGGTAAAATGAGGACCCAGATTGTTGGGGGCGATATGCTGACTCTGTAAACCGCTTAGAGAGGGCTGAAAGCCCTATGAAGCGGTATATAAGTCTAACTGCTATTGCTATTGCTATCTAAAAGTTCAAATTATATCATTTGGAAGTTCTGCCCATGGTGAAACTCACTTATGAGTAGAAGTGTATTCCATTTCTTACTGTGGTGACCAAGCTAATCGATTAATCCAGCGCCTTTGCTTTGGAATTACATTTTCAATGTAATTTTTTGAAATTGCAATTTAGAAGTCTTTGTTTCAGCAGGTGGCAAGTCTGAGGTGTGCAATTGGCTTTCCAAAGCAGCAAATGAATTAACTAATTCTCCTCCCTCCCAGTTGCATCAGAATAAGTCTTTATTTTTATTCTGTCTATGTCTTCCACAAAGTTTGCTTGAACTATTCACAATTTTGTGTTTCTTACTGTGATTTGTTTACTGTACATTTTTATTTGTGTGATTGCATAAACAATGAATCTTTAATGTTATTTAAAGTTAGCCACCCTCAACTGATATAGATTGTTTGCAATGTGGCCTTATACAATTTAAGCATAATACAAGATACAAGAAAGGATCAACACCTGCAACTAAGTGAACAATATTTAGAAAAGCTAATAGTATTTCTACTGTATATGAGATAAGTGAAGGTTTCATAGGAAATAATCATTAAGGATTGAAAGATAAGTTCTACATGCTAGGTTTTGGGCAAAAAATGAGTATCTCATTCAACCTGAAAGCAAACTCCTCCTTGCTGGTTGATTTTAATGATGTTTCTAAGTAATACACAATCTTCTGTCTCCTAACTTAATAATTAATTTGCTTTTACCTTCACTAATTAATATGACCTAATTAAACTTACTGGGTATCTGGGTTATTCATTACCTTTAATTGCTCTACTTTCTTCATAGTGTATAAGCACTGTATTTTTCTAGCAAATCCTTAATTTTTGTATATACCAAGCTTAAATCCTTTTGGAAATTAAGCTGCAAACTGTACAGACATTTTTTTCAATATGAATCTGAGTGTGTAACAAGAGCAAGTACATCTGAAAGTAATTATTTTCATGAACACAGTTGTATAACTTGCATAGGTACCACATTTTTATTTGTTTGTAACCTAAATTGTCCCTGGAGTTTTGTCAAAGTCATAAGAAGGTACTTTTTAATTTAATATGCCTAATATCAAGGAAGATAAGAATAATGTAATTTAGCTTTTAAAGATTATGGCATTTCATAGATAGAAAGAATAATTCTAGTTCCACAAAATGCAAAACAGTAAGTATACATTTCTATAATAATAACAATTCTTCTCACCACTTATTTTATTCAAGAGGTGCTCTAGATCAGTGGTCTCCAACCTTGGCAACTTTAAGACCTGTGGACACAAGTCTTAAAGACCTGAAGTCCACAAGTCTTAAAGTTGCCAAGGTTGGAGACCACTGCTCTAGATAATCAGGAACAATAGTATTGCTTTCATATACACTATGGCATCATAGTCTTAACATAGCATGATTTTTTTAAATGGTTGAATATTGTCTATATTGTCCTATTTGATTAATAACCATTACACTGTTTGACATTGTTCATCATGAAATGAGATGTAGCCAGATTGCTGTGACCCAAATGCACAGAAACAAATTGATTTGCATCCATGAATGAACATTTTTTTAGGAACCAACTTTTATTCCTTCATATTGTCCAATTAGCACCTTTGTCATTTCTTGAAATGTTATATTGCTTTAAAAATTTGAAGGTTTTTTTTAAAATATCCCATGGGATATTTCAGAATTAATTTATGTTAAAGAGTATTTTAATATGTACATTAATTTATGTGCACCATGTGAGTCAGTTTCCAAGGACTTTTCCCATTTTGACAGTAGGGTGATTGCTGCCAACCCATCAAATCATAGAGCGTTCAAAGACATGAAATGTCTGTGAAAAGCAAATTGGTGATTTTTGTTTCACATGCTATTCCATAAAACTGCCTAAACAAAACTTTTAAGTTTGCAAAAGCAATTATCTTAATACTTTGGGAACCAAAGAATATAACTTTGAAATGGTCCTGTGCCAGACTAAATTATTTCAAACTCACTTTATTCTCCAAATTCCCTCCTTCATTTATGTAAAGATCTTATTAGTTGTAACCTGCTTAATGTACAGTATGTTTCAAAGAGTGACTAGTTATATGTTTGTTATGTATAACCTTTTTTAAAAAAAAATGCATACATATAGTTTGTTGATCACATTATAGAAATCACTAAATCCATTAGCACCTTTGAATTTTATTCTACAATCCTTTATTTAATTTGAAATATCTAAGAATCTTAATTTAGGGCGGCCACTCTGGAAGGAAAAAATGACTTACTCATAATTGATTAATTAATGAATTAATCATTTACATCAATTTACTGAGGAATAGAGGGTTTAAAAAACACTATTAATTTCTCATCTTTAATGAAGCCTGCATGTTTCACATCAGATGTCATCTGGCAAGAGTTGTCTTCTTCTAGGACAGCTCATGCCATCCAGATCTTATTTTTCCAATAAACTGTTGTGGGTTTACTGTCATTTATCTGTGCCAGCCATTCAATCCTGTAGTTTAGGATTCAACATATTACAAGCATGTATCATTAAGTGCTTCTAATGCCTTTGCCATAAATACTTTTTTGTCTCCAATTTGCTTTTACAGTCCTCCACAAGCAGCCCAGAGAAGTGTGCCTTTGTTTGCTTGAGCTTGGAAGGATTGCAGCCAGGTAGGCAAACTTACTTAAAGAATGAGCAAGAATGTCACCCTTGGCAGCAGGAGAAATGGAGAGAATTAGTGGTTCAGTGCACTGTCAAACTAACATTTATACTAGTCTGGGTCAAAGCAAAGGTCCAACTATTAGTACATGTAGAGCATATTGGGGGCAGTTGTTCAAACAAAACAGTCAAGGTTTTATTTTATTTTTTTAAAAAAAGAAGTGATGGAGCTTGTATGTCATTTCAAAAAGCTGAAAAAAAAATCATCCTGGAAAAAAATGTGTAATAGATTCCTCCATAGAGTATTTGATGTGTTCATGGCAGAGTATTTGCTTCAATAACTGGGATCTTTTTGCTTTGGGTCATTATTGTAAACAGTAATCTGTGTTTGCATCATCATCCTCTTCTTCATATGAAGTGTGTGTTTTTTCCAGTCTGCTCCAGCACAAGTAAAACCAAGTTGACTTCTTTTGTGTCAAAGTAGTTAAGCCATTAATGACAGGAGATGAAAAATAAATGTTATTACAGTGCTAACAGCAAAAGGTTAGGAAAAAGAGCAGAAATGATAGAGATGCAAAATAAGTTGCAAATAAGCCCAACTTGATTTTTTTTTGATGTTTGCAAAGTTTGACAGAACACAGAGCAAACTTTCAAACGTTGGGTCTGTGGATGATAATGCTGTTCCAGACTGGATAGGGAAGTAAGAAAAGTTCACACCATTATCTCAACAAAGGCCCAACCTTTGATGTAAGAGTTTTGCAGGCATGCCAGCTCCCGTGGTGGGCTGAACTCTTGTAGTGCCATGCATATGCTGAGGGGGTAAGGCAGACACCCCCATTGCCTTTAGTACTTCAAGTGAAAATATGTGACAGAAAGAACAGCAGATAATATTAACCAACAATAGAAATATAAACAGACCAAAAGATAACACTGTGAAGAAGGCAAAATGTATGCCTATCAAGATAAATCATGAATGACCCAGGGGTAATTTCAGTCTAAGTGTATAAGGTTTAGTAAAATGTAGATGTGGTTAGAAGGCTACATAAACTCGTTGCATTAAAATAATTTCTTTTTATATTTAAAAACTGCTCTATTAAAGCTGCCATGCTTGAGAAAATCGGGTGTGGGCAAAAATTGGGTTTCTGTCTGTGGCCATTGTCTCCATAAGGAAATAAACTTGTTTACCCTACCCTTTTCACGAAATGCATTTTATGAAATTAAGGCTTTTCATATAGAGAACATGGAATTCTAAACAGAATGGAGGCATCTTATGCAATGGAATACTTCCATTATTTTGCACTTATAGGGAACTCAAAAGGGAAGAAAAAGAATCCAGAGATGTCTTTTAGATCCCTAGAGGGTCCTAGAGTAAAGAATATTAATTCTCAGAAGAAGTATATAAAGTGAGAAACTCCTCCCTAGTGCATACTTTCCTTCCAGGTCCATTAGGCTTGCAAAATCCAGAATTTATTGTTAACTAGTTGAAAACCCGGCATTGCCTGGGTATTTATAGACATCAAAGTATTTCTCTGACAGGGAGCCATTGAGACAGGATTTTATTCCACCTACTCCCATGCCCATCATCCCTGCTCTCTCCTTTCCCCCTCCCATGCCCTCCTCTTTCCTACCCTGTCTATGATCCTGGCCCTTTGCCCCAAATCCATCAGGCATTTCCCCATTGGTCCACTGGAGAGCGAACATCATGGCTGGCTTTCCAGAGGAAACTGTGAAGGAACTGACATCATAAACAATTGCTGCTCTAGCATGCTGCGCTCGCTCTTCTTAAAGGCCCAGGCTCTCCCTTCCCCCTCCCATGACATCAAAAATAATTGCTGCTCTAGGAGACTACACTCACTCTCCTTAACGGCTCAGGCATTCTAGAGTTATGCACACACACAGAAACACATACATACCCAGGGGTGTCTTATCCCCCTCCCCAGTATTTTTTTCCAGTGGATAAGCCATCCATACCAAGTGTGGTTGAAATTACTCAAGGTGTTCCAGAGTTGTGCTGGAATATACATGTATGCACACATGCACACATGCATACATGCATACATGCACACATGCACACATGCATACATGCATACATGCATACATGCATACATGCATGCATGCATACATACATGCATGCATACATGCATACATACATATATACATACATACATTTTAGATAAAAGATGATAGATAGATAGATAGATAGATAGATAGATAGATAGATAGATAGATAGATAGATAGATAGATAGATAGATAGATAGATAGATAGATAGATAGATNGAAAGAAAATAGATAGAAGAAGATTGCTACTGTTTCCTGGTGATATATGGACACATATTTTGTTTCTTGACCTTTATCTGATGACAATGTAGAGTTCTTCTAGAGAAATATCTCTCATCCAGCCTAACAATTTTATTCTATATTCTCCCATTTTGTCAAACATAATAATTGTTTCTAATTGTTTCCAGTCCTATATACAATTGATAAATCTGTATTTTTAACTATTTTGATCTTTGCTCTCTCTTCTCCATTTGACTTTTCCACTAAAAATAACTATAAAGGAGTTTATACTTTGCTGGCATTACTTTCAAGTGAATAGTTTCTAATCCAACCATATTAAAAAAAGTAATACATTACAAAAATAATAATTGAATGATCAGAGTTGAATAATCAAATTTTCATATCAATTTAATCTTCATTTAGTGTGTATCAAGATATAAGCATATGTAGATGTAGTACCATTTAATGTAAATCACTGGAACAAAATAAGGGTAATAGCTAGGCTGGGGGAAAGCACTCTTAAGCCATGAAATAGGATACATTGTATTATAAGATGTTGAAGTGGAAGAGAAAATGGATTTGAATTCACTTGAAGAGCACAGAAGCTATATTTGATTTCTAAGTGTATAGTCAGGGTCCAATGGGAAAAGCATAATTTATGGCCTCTCAGCATCTGCGTGTCTGTACTAGATGCATTATTAAAAATCTGGTGTCTGGAATTAGAAAAAGAAAAGCCAATGTGGTAAATTTGACTTGGATCTTTACTGCATAACAAACAGCACTGACATTTTTATATTAGATATATCTGAATTCTCTACAAATTAGAAAAAAAAATATTTCCACTGTCTCATAGTGTAGCACTGTCTTTCCAATATATCACTGTCTTCTTTCCTGCACCTGCATAATGGCTAGTAATTTTGAGCCTCAATATTTCTGGAAAATCTGAAAGAGGAAAATCTTAAGGCTATGAATTGCTCCTTAATCCCAGAAAGAATGGGAGCATGCCCAATAGCTTTGTCCAATGCAACAAGACCAGTTATGCAATAAATGCTGCAATGAAAGTAAGTCGTGCCTTTTGACCAAGGGTACTTCCAGATGATCAGCCATTAAAACCACAGATTTTTATTATTTCAATTTGCTTGAAAGGTTCAGATTGTTCTGACCATTTCAAATCATTTGGAAATTGGAACAATCAGCTTTTCTCTGTTGACCAGCCAGTCAAGCTGGTATTCACTTGACTTTATATCATGATCACATGCAACCAGTGATGTCATTGTGGGGTCATAAGGGAAAGGCTCATCTCTAGTGATGGAATTATCTGGAAGAGCCCTCTATGAAGAAGAACAATTAAGACTTTCTGAGTAAATTCAGGGCTGTATAAATACAATATGACTGTGCCCGAAGTCCAAAATTAATTGGTAATGTTAATATATCATGTAAGATTGTGTTAATACCAATACAGTAGTTGCCTTTCCCCAGGCCTACCCTCAGAACTAATGCAGGCCTAGAGATTTATTTTAAGCAAGAATTTCTAATGTGATTTTTAGAAGGTTGTTTTTTCCCCCCACAATTTTCAGCAATTGATGTCAATATGATGTAACTGATTGATAAGTCCAGGGTTCAATCTATCCTTTTAAAAGGTTTGGTGTAGAGCCTTCTGGATTGATAAAGCTGGAGAAAGAGATTGAACAAGAAGAGACACTTTCAACTCCTCTTCCTTCTCCTTCCCCTTCCCCGACAAAGTCACCTGGCAAAAAGAGCACAGGAAAACTTCTGGATGATGCAGTAAGTTTTTTTTTTGTTATACCTCTTAAGAGTTATATTTTGTTATACTGTACCTCCTAGGACCTTATTTATTCAACTTCAGTCTCCTCCAATCTAAAATATTTGACGGTACTATTTGGGAATTTTGAAAGCTGCAGCTCTACACATTTGAAGCTTACACATCTGATTCTTAAGTATTTTGTTTCCCAAATTTGAATAGCATACACATGCACATACACAGTAATTCACAGTAGTGAACTAAATAAACACATGTAAAAACTTAGTGGAAATTTAGTTCAAATGAGGGACTGATTAAAAACATGTTGATAACAGTAAGGCATAGTGAAGTTTTTACAATACTGAACCATTTGTTACTAACTCCATACTAATGGAATGGAACGGAACGGAATGGAATGGAAGCATTGTCCATTTCCAAATTACCTCAGCGATGTACAGTGAAAGCAAACAAAATACAAAATACAATGCAATAAAATTATAAAAGAAAGGGAATAAGGAATAAGAGGAAGAATATAGATATATTTTCTCACAGGATGTTAAAGGTTGTTTTCTACAAAGGATCATAACAGTAAGATTCAGGGACTTGATCTTTCAAGATATTTATACAGAGTCATTTTTCAGATATTCTGAAATATAGATGTTGGAGATGACAGACATAGTAATAGGATTCTAGTCACTATATTCCTCCCAGATCCTCTTCATGTGCTTTAAAATTCAAAAGAGAGCAAGGTGTCTGCTGTATCATAGACTGGGAGCATGCAAATGTGAGTAGATAAATAGTTACCATTTCAGTGGGAAGGTAACAGTATTTGGTGTGCCTCAGGATATAGTCATGCTGGCCACATGACTATGGAAATGACTTTAGACAACACTGGGTCTCTGAGCTCTAGAAACAGAGATAAGCACCAACCCCTAGAGTTTACCATGTAGTTTTTAAAGATTTTGTTCATTATTTAACATTATTATTTTATTGTCATTGAATCAAGGCTTGATATCACTGGACTATCTAGCCCAATATTCTGTTGCTGCCTATGTCAGTTTGCATGGTATTTTACAGAGAATGAAGCAGGTGGATCTGTAGAAGACTTAAAGAGAAGCAGAAGAAGAAAGGAAATGAAGTAACTTTGTTAACAAGAACTATAAAGCAGCTCCCCCAGCTAGTTGCATTCAAATGTGATAGACTTCATTGCTTATCTTGGCTGCAGACACGAAGGCTTCCAATATGAGCCCAATATAACTAGTTAGCATCTCAAGAAATTTGCTTCAATGTTCTTTTAAGAAGGTGTTGAATAGGATTTTGAAGGATATGATGTCTAATAGGTGTTCAGGGATCAACTTAGAACATTTAAAATTACAAGGAATACTTTTTTGGGATGCTGAAGAGCTTTGAAAAATGGAAGGTGGAATTGGAAAAGTACAGGCAATTTATGTGGAGAGATGAAGAAGAATCTGAGGTCATGCAGAGTTTTGAATAGAATGACTAAGAGCTTATGCTAGATCCATATTTTGAATCTACCTGGCAGTGGTTTCAGAGTCTTAAGGTTTCCTCTTTTTCTTTTTCATCTCTCTAAAACAGCCTTGAAATCTAGGACTTTCTTCATGCAGCCAATTTGGGTATTTATCGTAATAGAATCATACTTCTTGTTCAGTTCACATGCCAGTCTTCTCTTATACAAGCACAACACACGATAAACCATGTTCTAGAGAACGAAGAGTTAAATGGAAAGTAAGAATGGCACTTTTAAAAGAACCTGTTTCTATGGCAACTCCTATATCGCAGGGTAGAAGTGTAGCTACCGGCCTGGGAATTACAAAGCACTCCTTAAAAGCCCCTGTGCCACATAAGAGCTATAATGAGCAGATAGAATTCTGGTGTATAATTTGTTGAAATGCAAACTTTCTTAGGGTCAGCACTTTCCCCCACTTCCTGCGTCTTTAACTTTTCAAACTCTCTCACTATGGCTGTCAGAGAAAAATAGAGGCAGAAGTAATGCATAGCAATGAAAAGACATTATTCTCGCAGGAGAGGAAAAAAGGAGGAAAAAAATAGGAATATGGTAGTCTTTCCCAACTTACTGCCTGCTAAGAAGTTGCACTGTAAGTCCCATCATTCCTGCTTGCATGGTCCTGCTGCCTCCAAGTGATAAAAATGAAACGCATCCTATCTGAAGAGTAACAGGTAAAAAGGTAGAGTTAATATAAGAGATGCTTCTTATGATCTCCATCATTCATAGAATAGCAATAGAAGAAAACAAAAATAAAGCTACTTAGACGTGTCTCTAGTATGCAGACTCCCTATTCCACATAAGTTGAATACAGGTGGTTCTTGATTTACAACCATTTCTTTAGTGATCATTTGAAGTTACAACAGCACTGAAAAAAGTGGCTGATTACCATTTTTAACACAACTGGTGCAACCATCCGCATGGTGACATGATCAAAATTTGGACACTTGGCAATTGGCATGTATATACGACGGCTGCAGTGTCATGGAGTCATGTGATCATCTTTTGTGACTCTTTGTCAAACAAAGTCAATAGGGAAGTCAGATTCACTTAGCAACTTTGTTACTAACTTTAACAACTGCAATGATTCATTTAACAACTGTTGCAAGAAAGGTTGTAAAATAGGCAAAACTCGTTGAACTATCTTGTTTAGTGACATAAAATTTGGGCTCAAAATTGTGATTGTAAGTCAAGAACTACCTTTATGTATATAACTTTAACTGAACCGAACCCTGACTTTGAACATGCTTCCCAGATCTAGCCCCTTTCACCATAGTTGCTATTATATCAGGAAATTCCTTTATGTTATCTTAATGCTGTTGGAAGACAAAATGACCATATTCATGCTGAATAAAATGCATCTACATGATTTGGCCAATCTTCAATACATAATTCAGCCCAGGTGGAGGAGAAGATATGTCTCCTTCCTTCAAAACATCAAAACAGAACACAGTATTAAATCAGAGAGAAGAAAGAAAAGGAGAAAAGGATTCAGTGAACACTATCTTCAAAGAGAATGATTGCTTATGTAGAACTCCTGCTTGTGTGGATTTTGGAATGTGAGGTTAGGTACAGTATGATTAGTAATTTACTTGGACCTACAGTCTGTCTGAATAGGGTGGAGTTCATGTGATGTTTCAAGATATTCTTACACATCTATCCCAAATGTATCATTAATCTGGGCCAAATCATTGAACTACTATAGCTATTGCCCAATTATATCACTCCTAATTGATTCCCAGGTATGTGTGTGTATATACATCCCCTCACACAATATATATATATATATATATATATATATA